ATAATGTGTGCAAAAAAGTTGATTTTATGCGGAAATGATAATTTTACTTCGGTATTTTTGAGCGGGATATAAAAGTATACCAAAGTAGATCTGTCTTTTCCGAAGTAAGTGTTCTTTTTCCATTATGTCAACTTTGCTTGCAAAACATCTCAGTTCCATATTAATAAGAACATAAGTTGGATGCCCAAGGCAGTCAAACTACGCAATATAATTCGGTTAACATTGTATCTGTTCAAACTGCCACCTAAATGTCACCATTGCATGAGTGCAACGTCGGCAAAGGGAGACATCCTTCAGAAAGTAATTCTGTGTATGCCGAATTCTTTAAATCTAACAAATGTCTTAAATACGCGGACACAGCGCTCCCCTATTCACGCTGCAACTATCAATTCATGCGCTATAAAATTTTTGCGGAGTTATATTGCCTACAAGTCGGGAGGATTAAGTAATACCCTGCTTCTACTTCCTTCCTCTTCCTCGTTTTCCACCCATACAAGTAATCGGTAAGTTCCGTGGACAAACTGTCGTGTTTCCGCTGATAGGAAAAAGAAAGGCCTACTGATTGGACCACCAGCATCAATCAAACAACATTAACTATTGTTTCCTTTCTGTCGAATCCGGTGCGCATGCGCTCACCCTATGCCTACCACGCAGCCGATTTCCAAGTAGGTTGGTGGGTGTTCAACATCGACGACCATCTATCATGCCGAAAGAAAACACTCACCTTTTAAGTGCCCACAAAAACAGACAGGAGGAGGATACTCATAAAGTGGGGGTAGTTGGCAGACACTGCGCGATAATGCTGTCGAACCGTGGCTTGAGCCTGGTCGATCGACTGTTTACATTATTTACCTGGACGTCACCTATGCTTCTGGCAGCTACTATTGTCGCGATCCGCAGACTGACCTAATACAGCCGCAACAGCTGTTGTTTCTGCAATCTCCACCCCATTTTCTCGGTCTGTCTAACATATTTTCCTGCCATCAAATGCATTTGAAATATTTACAAAGTTTAAGATCGTTAATTGCATCCCTACACCATTCTTTAGGTAGTCGAATATAACTTGCAATAGTTAAGACAAATAAAGTAGGTTGCTTTCAGAATTCGAGAAGAAGTATCCTGCGCCGCTACTGACCTCCTGGAAAAGGGTCACTTGCAGTTTTGGATGCGTTATTGCCTCTTAGGATCTAAATGCACGAACTTTCTGCTGGCCGGGACACAGAGCTTCTAACCCAAAACGTCGCCTTCTACCGACTATTGGGAGAGTGCTTTTTGTGTGATTCGTAAATAAAGTGCACTCTGAAACTTGCCAGTCAATATCTTTTAGCAAATGCTGTGGCCCGGGATAGTAGTTGGATGGTTCGAATGTGAGCCTTACTCCCCTCGGCCAGTTATTACAAATTGATCCTCCTGCAGATCACTAAGGTTGGGTCACATAGGGTCTATCTTGTTCAGTCCTTGCGTTACTGAGTTGTTCTACCCTTAGATCGCATGAATAAGTTGTGTTTCAGGATATGTTGTATAATTTTCCTTTCCAATACAGACGTGCCAGTCAGGGACAGTCCTGCTGGATCAACTGATGGTGGATTATTCATGTAGGAACGCGTATGAAAATAAACAAATTCCCTGTATTACAAATATAATGCTGATTTGAACGTAACCTGGCACCTCGTTATCAGACATAAAATTAAATTTTAATCTTAATTAAACAAGCTTAATGTCACATGCTGCTCCGAAAACTGCTTTTGAGTACAACTGTGCCAAAACAGAAAGTTATCGAATACACCTCAAAGATGCTATATTAAGATTGTCTGCTCGCATGTGTTTTGGGGATATTTGTTTTAAAGTAGTGAAAAGAGGAGGGTTTAGGGCAACAGTGTTTACAGTTACTGATTATAGCTTTGTTGAAATAGTGAACCTTCAGTAAAGGCTGAGAATCGAGAACATTGCCGCAGTCAGAGTTACCTAACAACTAGAGAAAAAGATCAGTTTGTCCGTAGACGGAAAAAACATTTTGCTTTTTTTTCATTTTGCAGAAAGCTTATGCGTAAATTTTAAGTAAATTTTTTAAAATAAAAATCTTAAGGCTTATTCCGATAACTGCTATGAAACGTTGAGCCGATTTCCTCCGCTATAACAGATTGGTCATGTAAAATTGTCAGCCTGTTAACAGATAGTCAGTTCAGAAGATTGCCTATCTAATGAAGCGTGTTTTAGATAAGAAAAAAGTACTTACGCATGTTTGTAAGATTGGTTCTTTTTAAGCCTAATCTCCTATAGTTCAGTCCGTTCAGGTCGCCGGTTTTTGAACAAACTTCATTCTGACTGTCTTTTAAAACGTAGTTCATAAAAATGCCCTCTTAAATAGTACGAATTTTTCTAATTTATTTTCTATGCCCTTACAACTTCAGATATATCTTACAGAAAGCGTGCACAAAAAGTTTCTCTCTTGTACTCTTTTGGTAACAAATTATATATCCTTCAAATGTTGTACTGGCGGAAAGGGAATCCCTGGGTTTAGAAAAATAACTTAATTGCCAAATAATTTTGAACCTCACTTGAGTTCACTGTTACCAAGCTAAATGCTATCGACATCCTGTCTAAATCTATAAGACGTTCCTTTACGATGTGAGAAAGAGACCACATATTCCTTATAGATGTTTCCAATGCATATGGATCACATTGAATGCTTTAAAGACAATACCAATAAATTGAGGGAAACGATGTATTATGAATAAACATTTCATGGTCTTAAATTTTCCCGCAATTAAATTTTTATGAAGTCGGAAAATAAAATTTCTTCAATTTTGAAGTTTGAAAACGGCGTAATTTGCTGCTAAGTTAGCAGTAGAGTTAATTTTTGTGCATTTTTTCCGTAAACAATAAAAATTAACGGGAAAATGCACCTGTTTCTGTTTACATTTTTACAGAGTATGCTTCCGGCAGGCGGTCAGAAAGATTCTCGTATAGAGGCCAGCATTGGGATATTACTGATATATACTGGACGTAGACAGTACGATAAGCGGCATTATAACCCACTTTAGGTATTTTTTTGAAAACACGTTTTAGAATTCCGGTCAATATTGCATGAGAAAGGGAACCCACTGTCATATTGACTATGAAATTAGGTACCATGCTAATGGAAAAAAATACTAGGTAACGCGCATACTCTGCGCAAACTGTTGCTGGGAACGCAAAAAACTGTTCCTTTTGAGGAATACTCACTTAAAAACCACTTTTAGCGCAAAATTCTTAGAACGTGTTTGCATCACTTCACGGCGCAGGGATCAAAAAACACACTGAATGGAAACGGAGCGAGGCAAACCTTATCCAAACCTAGTGTCAGGAACGTAGAAAAAGGGCCTTTCCGTCATTTCAAAGTCAATAAACCAGAACGTATACGTCACTTTATGGCCGAATGCAAATGTGAGTCGATGTGGAACAAACCTGAATTTGCAGTCTTAGCAGGACACTGTAAACCAACTGTAGTGAAAGGCTTGCCCAAAACTGGTTCACTTTTGTTTCATTTCTAGTGGAAAGCACCTTGGTGATCTGAACAATTTTAACCTCGTTGCTATAGCAAATGTCTACTATTTTCATCAAAGCCTGATATTCCAATTAACATATCCTTATCGCACGTTCTTCGTGTGTTAGACAGTTTTAGGTAGTTTTATAGTCCTGCCTGAAGGGAATCGACGCATTCCTTTTCTTCAAGGTGAACTGTTTAGAAGGAACCGAAGAGACATATATATAATTTTCTAGCGTTACAACCACCGAACAGGAAGGTCACTGCTATATGCTTAGGGCGTTAGACAATATTTTGGATCAAAGTGCTTCCAACAATGACCTTTGCTCCACCGAAAATTCTGTGATTGTCAGGAACAAAATGTTGCACCAGTTTCACATTCCAAATAACTTGAATTATTCGACTATGCATATCACTATTGAAGAAGAGTGAAGAGAGCAACCACTGCCGTTTCTTCATTTGCCGCTACGGTAAAACTGACAGTAAGTACTTACTGGAAGGCAACATGCGCGAGCTTACGATACTAAGCCGCCAGTTTTCGCTATCAGTTCGCATGTTAGTTTAAATATACAAATCTGTTTGCTTATTGCGTCCATAATAAGCCGACTTGTACCCTCTTTGTTTATTCTAACTACAACAATTATATCGTCCGCGCAAAACGCTAGCACTGATTTAAATGAAGTATTATTTGGGCGAAATTTTGCTTGACCTGTTTTTTTCGATGTTGCGTGGTTTGTATGCCTATTTATTCGCGATCCTAAAAATGCTGGAAGAATATTTTCAAAATATAGCGTATCTCTCCTGCAAAACCGAAAGAACATCGCAAGATTGCTAAGCTTCGCTACAACCAACCAGGGATGCAAAAGTTTGACAACAGACACCTGGAGGACAACATATAATATTCTGTTTTACTCAGACAGTTATGAGTCGTTGTCTATGTATTCTCCATATGAGTATCCAAAAATAAGGGAGACTGAAGTTGAGACGTACTTCACCATATAGTGAGGAATTCTCTGAACTGACCAAGCGCATTACTGTTACTGCCATTGCACACTGACACAACCAGGTGATAAAAATCAAAAGGTGATACGACTACGGTTCGCAGACTGACTTGATAGTATGAATGCTGTCGGGTTTAGACAGCGCATAAAAGAGCACAAACTTGCTGACTGGCGGGATGACGAAGTGGCTGCCCATGATTTCTAGTGCAGTGCATTTTCGCAATCACCAAGAACATTGCGCAGTTCGCGATTTTATTGAAGCTCGAGCATCTGACGAGAACTTCGTCAAGTGATATATCGAAATTGCAGCCGCATAAAGAGTCCTGCACAATCACCTCTAGAAATGCTACATAGATAGTTAATTTGCTAATAATCCCTATAACTGTAGGTTCCTTATGAATTTACAAATGATCCCTATAATTGCAGATCCTTATTTTTGCATTCATACCTAATGATAAGCTTCTCTACAGGCTCTAAAATGCGGAATCGTAAGCAATTGCTTTCAGCAAAAGATCAGTTTTCTCCTTGACTATGTAGTCCACACGGACCCCTGTGAAAAATGAAATACTACTGTATTTGTTCGGCAGTGTCTCGAACGGTGGAATAAACTTTCCATGATAACTATTTGGCTATGATAAATCATTTTCACTTATTTTAATGCCTCTATAATGTGCAATACAACATAATTCCTTGCACTCATGTAGCGATGATTCCAGCCTTCTTTAAATGATAAACCTGAAGAAATAGCAGCTATCAGTTGAAAAAAGGGTTTAATTATGCGATTTTGTAGAATATGAAGTATCCATTTTAAAACCATTTTGTCTGCTTGTTTGGTAAGACTACTAATTAAGCATGCGAAATACGTAGTAGTTATTAAAAAATTAAAGATTCATCCGTAGTATCCTCTTTAGAGTATAAAGGGGTTTTAGATGCTGTCTGTATAGACAAGGTACAACGTGCATTTTGCATGGCTGAAACGCACGTGGAACGAAAATTGTGACTCAAAAATATCTGAGAATGCTAAAACGCCTTAAAAATGAAGCCACTTTGTTCATTCATCGGAGATAAAAATGCCATTTTTGCTACCAAATAACTAAGGGAGATAATATTTTGCGTCTCTTTTTATAAAATATGCGTTGATTTATAAAGACATAAATACCACTGCAACAGATCTACGCTCGTCCAGTTACGTTTATTCATTAATTGCATGTCTAGTGTTGTACTCACTTACCTATACCGGTCGCGCAACGTTTATGGCAATGTCTTTCCATCAGGTAGTTTGTTCTGCAGAGTCTGGCGGAAACCGAGGATCACCCATAACCAGAAATCCTGCATAGCCATAAAGGGATAAATGTACAGACACCAGAATCAAAGCTCCCAGCAAAACGTCAAGAGGCCGACGTCTTGCCTAGATCTCACTACGCATACTTTACGTCAGAGTTATTGGTTTCAGTATTCAGTTAAAAATAATCTGTCATTTATTAGCAATCACTCGCCCTTCTCGGCACTCAACAAGGTAACGGCGACTCTTTCGAGACCTCCGATGCTTGTATCTCGCGCCTGCTAGATTATCAATTATACCACAAAGAACTCCCACGTTTGCAACGGCGCCTAGGTGATTTACTTACGACAGTTGTTAGAAAAATCAAGAGAAGCGTTTAAAACACTGCCTGGTCTCACGCTACTTTTATACCTCACATTGTCAGTTCCAATGACTACCACGACTGTGGTCATCCACTCTTAAATGTTTTAACTTACTATTTTTTTTTTTACATGGGCGCACGGTAAAGGTGCTAGCTCGTAAAATTTTAGCGAAATTTGAAATGCTTAGAAAAGACTACTTATGCAGGGCTACGTATAACATATCGTGCGGCGTAAACCGCAGACACAGCTTTTGAGAAAAGTGGCAGGTTCCGAAAACGCAAAAATTGTTATAACTGTGATTTATTAGGTTAACTTGAAAGCAGACAATATCGCTGATTTTACATTTTTCGTAAAAGTTCTTTATAGTTATTATTGATATTGGGTTGCACTGCGTTTCAGGTCACCCTTAAAAAAGCAGTGAGCACTTTACGATTTAAAGCGTTTTCAAACACTTTGCCAGGGATTTACGTTATTTTCCATTTGTTAATCAAAATCGACAAAGGGAATTATTTCCTTATAGCCATTTCCGAAGTATTATGCTTCTAGACGTTCTTTCTAATGCGTATGACAATTCTAGTCATGTCTATAGACATGAAAAAACATTAGTTAGAAAAACAAACCTTCACAATAATACTCGGGGGTTTCAATGCTACGACCAATAATAGAACCTCCTACAGTAGGCTATATTTTTGATGATACACCTCTGCGTAAATATACTCCTATCAAGGGCTAACTGAATGTAAAAATTGGTAAATTTGGCCATTTTTTAACTTCTCCGAAAATGAGTGAGACAGTCACTGACGCATGTTAATAAACCTACTGTTCTCTATATATTGGCATTTTCTTCGCTATATTTAAGCCCCCCTTCTTAGATTGCAAATACGAAACATGTTGGCAGAACTTAAACTAACATTTCGCGACAGTTGCATGTTTTCTGTCCGTTAGTTTCTTAATTACACATAAGCGGAAACTGTGTCATCAAAAATCATTTTAGCATATGCTTTATCTTTACCAGCTTTTTGTTGAGGCCTATCCATTATAGCATGTGTGTAGGTGTTTAGCATTCCGATTTCAGTGCGATAAATAAAAAAAGCAAATGGGAAGGTTTTTTAATTGCTTTAAATGCAACGAGGTCTGAACTTTGGAAAAATATATAATGTTTAAATCTGGATTCGTTTATTGCTTTAGGAAAGCGAAGCAAATCTTTATGGTTGCGCCAAAATATTTCATATATTTCAGAAACTTCCTGATAGTGTCTTTTGCATGCACAGTCTTCTGACAGCATGCAAAGTCCACAATCGATATGAAATCTCTAATTATTGTTTATGCGTTTTACCATGCATTTTCGATTATTCATAAATTCAAATATATTCTACAGTATACAATCAAGAATATTTTTTGCGTACACAATTGGTAAAAAATCACTGTAGCAAAATTTATATTTAAATTGGTTAGTTTTGGTTTCTGGAAAGCGTTTTTCATTTCCGAATAATTTTGACCCTGGATTTAGGATTTCGAAACTACAAGCTGTATGTTTTGGTTACAAAATCAGATACTCTTATATCTTTTTACGTCGAAATCACTTAAGTTTCAAATTTTCTAATTTGATGAAAACCATATTACATAATTTAGAAGTAATGTTAATATATCAAGACATCATGCGTCATGAAGAGACATTTCACCGTGTTTATAAATCTCATAATTATTGAATTATTGAAAACTTAGAGTGCCCCCTTTTCAGCAAAATATATAACATCCATATGCATCTATTTAACATTTCTAAATTTGAATCTACAAGGGCATCGAAACTCACTGCGAAAAATGTTTACAACTTTGCTAGTGCTCACAAGAGTGCAGTTTTCACAGACTATGTGAAGAAAGTTTATTTAAAGGCCGGCAGCTGGTCATGACTGAAATATCTTGGAGTTTATACTGCACGATAATTAATTATTAAATCTTAATTAAATAATCACTTCAAATTTAGGACACATTTCAGAACTGCGGTTAACATTTAATGGTCTAGTACATCTTCTGTCAGTAAGGCTGCTTAAAGCAGATAAACATAAATTAATCCGGTTTCTACTCATTGATTAAAGTCACTTAATTAGGCGGGGTAGTGATAGAGCTTGATTTGTGTATTTCAGCGTCTTTCACCTTAAAATTCAAATTAACATCCTTTCCGGTAAATAAAAAATCTAGTTGCGTGGCCTTATTTAGGAGGGCTTCAAAACACGAGTTTAGGACTTTACGCAGCGGGATTAGCGCTCCATAGTAACCATTGTATCGGAGACAGTCTACGATTGTCTTTTATGTTGCCGCCAGTAGCTGATAAAACTTAATTTCACTGTTGGACAATTGATGTGTATTAATTGTGTTCTCTTTTTACACGACACCAATCAATTTTGATATTAAACCAGCCACTTGCGCAGTTCGCGCCAATAATCGGTATCGTTTCATTATTTTTAACGAATCTGGTAAAATAGATTTTATTAGCTGGTTAATGGCCGAGTCTTCTACTGGGGACAATTTTCTGTTCACATTGGTCCCTGGGGTGTGGGATCTGTTCATGCTCAGGGGAAATATTCACAACACGAGAGCATCCAATGTTCTTTGAAGTCCTGGAGGTATAAGCAGTTTAGATGGGTCGTCTTTTGTTGCAGAAAAATAAATGGCTTATTGTACTTATGGCCAGTGGTATTGACGAACTAGTTTATTTCGTTCGATTCTGATAACCATCTGTTTGCATATTTGGTTCTCATAGTCGTAAATAATTGGCGGGGCCACTGTGTTTTCATTTATGCAAGACGTTTAATAATCCTGCGTAAAAACTACGTGGCACATTAAAAGGAAGTATGCATATACCATGGAGTAGGCCAATGAAAGCTGGGCGCGCCTCGTATGTTATTTTGTATCTTACAGTGTAGATGGTATGCTTCACTTATCTTAAGCCGTTTGAATCCCTGACAATTTACAAATTCCGCAAAAGATCGCATAATTTGTACGGCTTTCCTTTAATTTACTGCCTCTTATTGCCGAAATTACTCCCACCGAGGACACGAATGTTTCGCAATCTGTCCAACTGAATTATTTAAATGTGCCAAACACTCTTGTATAATTAACTGAGCCAAATGGTCATTCTGGTAGATTCTACATGATGGCTTAAAAAATCCTGCCTATATCCGTAATGGTGGATTCCATACAAGCAGTAGGTTGGGCGGGTAAATTGACCCAAGATTGATTAAAACCTAGGCCCACTGTGCACCTTGTAGCTCAGTGGTAGGGTGTTGGTTGCGCAAAAGCCTTCCCTGCTGCGTGGACTCGACTTCCACCGAGGCCGCGAATTTTCAACAGTAGGGTCAACTGAATTACTCAACACTGCCAAAGTCTACTGAAAATGACTGTCCGTGATGGATATTTTCCTGCTCCCAATGGGTTGCCATTTATTTCAAAGTACCAGTAGGCCAGTAACTATGGCACCATAGGCAGTTTTTTTATTGTTAGACCTTGCCCAAAGGGGCTTACTTTTTGTACTTATTTCAGCTTTGACTATGTTTTGGAGCACGTTTGCCAATGCGGGAAAAAATATTTAGTAGCGAAAATTCAGTATTTGAGGGATATTCTAAGCAGTTAGACAAAAGGACACTGGCGAAATATGTAATATTGCAAACTGCATAAGCCATATGTGAACAGCAACGTACGTGAGGGTGTTTCACGTTAATTCTATCTGTATTACATTTACGGCCAGTCATGAACACGAATACCAACTGAATGTATCTTCATCTAATACCCTCTTAGCTATACGAACGCTTGATCGTATCTTTGCCTTTAAATTAAATTTATTATAAAACCACACAGGTGAAGGTAGTTTCTCATAGGTAACTCCACACACAGTTTGAGAAGTTTTGAAAAAATTGACGTATAACCTATGAATTATAAGGCAACACGATTTGGAGCAACTGGACTAGTAAAATTGATATATGCCATTTAATCATAAATTGAGGAGTCGCAGCTAGAAATTGATAAGAATCGGTCATGGAGACCTCATAATACATCGACCCGTTTTAGGTCTACCTGACAGTATTACTTATATACAACAGCTAATCGGACCTACTCTCCAGTTCTGTACAACCCTGGAATGGTCGCATATTAGTACGTTAGTTAACCGAATTTACGAAGCCGCTTACGGGCTGCAAAAGTCTAGGTTTATTTGTGCACTTTCCAAAAGTTTTACTCTCGTTTGCTTCGGATGGCTAATTGACCGGTTTGTGCACATTCCTGATTGAATACCTATCCGATATGCTGGAAGAGAATAACAGTTTTCTCCCCCTCAGTCCGTTGCCCCTGTCATCCCATGCTCTACAAGCGATTACTCCTTGCCTTACCATGAATGAGAATAAGATATATTGTCCAGAACTTGCCTTGGGAATCCGCTAATGCAAGATTATCAGCGGCCCATCGCGTGACTTCATTTTCCGAAACTGCAGTCGGCTTACGTTCAAGTGACGGACTCGTGCGCATCATCACAGTAATCATCACCGTCTCCGTTCTCTCCTGCTTGGTGGTTTCCTTATCCGCCTCATTGCTCACCGTTTTCACCTGCCTGTCTACCGTCTCTGATTTGGCTGCGGCACTGTGGAGAGAGTTCTTCTCCATCGACATCGGAGATCGTTTTTTTCGTCTCCCGCCGTTTCTTGTCACTGCAGCGGCCGCCTCGTCCGCACAGCAGTAGGCCGGTGACTGCTCCGTTTCTCCAGCCACCACTCGCAGCTCCCGCTTGTCCGACCGGAACAAGAGCATAGCCTCCAGCAGTTCAAAGATGAAGATGCAGCTGAAGCCGATAAAGAGAGAGCAGAGACCGCCAATCTCTGAGAAGAGCTTTGCCAGTGAGTAGATCTCCTCCTCAGTAGCC